GGATTATAGGTGTGAATCACTGCACCTGCCCATCTTAACTATTTTTAAATGTACATTACACAGTTCAGTAGTGTTAAGTACAAGCAATCTTCAAAACTCTGCATCTTGAAAAACAAAACATTTAAAGATAAAAATAAAGGGTAGTAGTCTCCGTTATCCATGGGGAATATGTTCCAAGACCCCCAGTGGAAGCCTAATATTGAATATAATATAGAACCCTATGTATATGATTTTTTTTTCTGTACTTATATACCTGTGATAAGGTGTGATTTATAAATTAGGCACAGTAAGAGATTAACAAAAAAAAACCCCTAATAATAAAATAGAACAATTATAAAACTATGCTGTAATAAAGTTGTGCGAATCTCTTTTACTCACCTGTTTTCAGAGTGTGGCTGACTATGGACCGTAGAAAGGAAAACCACTGATAAGGGTGGACTTAGTAAGTTTTAGCAAGTTTAGCTGTACATGTATTAGTAAGTTTAGCTGCATATGTCAGAGACCCAAGGTAAAAGTGGCTTAAATATTTAAGTTTATTTTGTTTCATACATAAAGTCCAGATGTAGACAGTTTTTACTGACATGGTATCCCTGGAATCATCTGCAGACTTTTTCTAGTTTTCTGCTTGTCTTTAAAACTGTGGCCTTCAACTTCATGATACAAGATGGAGTTACATTCCACTGCAAATGTACATAGAAAAAAAGAAAGAAAGAAAGAAAAGATGGAGTTACAGTCATCCTAATCCTATTCTAAGCAGCAGAATTGAGAAAGGGGGAAAGAAAGGACATAACCTCTCTCTTTAAGTATGATTCTAAAATTGTACATAGCACTTTTTCTTACAACCCACTGGTCAACACTTAGTTGCTGAAGCATGCCTAGCTGCAAGGGAAATAGTCTTCTTTCCACCCAGCCATGTTCTAGCTAAAAATTGGGAATTATGTATATAGTCTATAAAGCTTGAATATTATCAGTCAGATATTTTAATTTCCTGTTTAGAACTTGGTAGATTTAATTTGAGCAATAGGGGTCACTGTTGAACAGGTATTTATTTCTTTCCTATTTTTTGTTTTGTTTTGTTTTTTATTTTTGGGACAGAATTCCACTCTGTTGCCCAGACTGGAGTTCAGTGGTGCAATCTTGACTCATTACAACCTGTGCCTCCTGGATTCAAGCAGTTCTCATGCCTCAGCCTCCCAATTAGTTGGGACTACAGTTGCACACTACCACACCTGACTGATTTTTGTATATTTTTATTAGAGACAGGGTTTCACCATGTTGGCCGGTCAACTCCTGAGCTCAAGTGATCTGCCTGCCTCAGCCTCCTAAAGTGCTGGTATTACAGGTGTGAGCTACTGTGCATGGCCATTTCTTTCCTATTTTTTTTTTAATGTGTATGTTTTTTCAGACATGGGGTCTTGCTACCTTTTGCAGGCCAGACTTTGGAACTTGTGGGATCAAGCCATCCTCCCCCATCAGCCTACCAAGTAGCTGGGATTGCTGGCACACACCACTGCACCTGACTCTTTCCTAGTTTCTTTGTTCAATCTGCCTGCCCTTTTCCACCCAAACTTTGGCTTTAGAGCCTTCTGAAGTGATTGTTTGGGTCCTAAATGTTTATTTACTAAGCATTTAAATTAAATTTATTACGTTAGTAAACAGATCCCCAAAATGTGTCAAACTGAGATTTAAAAACTGATTGGAAAGGCAAAAGTAATAGCACACACACACAAACACAAACTGCTTAATATTCAGGAACTCTATTAAATGATATAATTCTAAATTGGTACAAGTGGCTTCAAAGTTGTTTCCTCAGCTATGTAAGTTATAGAAAAACAATTATAATTTTATACAAATCAACAGTATACTAATATGTACAAACCAAGTTGCTTAACTTTCTAAAAACCAGAATATTGAAGAACATTCTGCCCCTAGAAGCCATGGCTATTACAGTATCTGCTTGCATGTTTAGGTGATCCTGTCTTTTGAAACAATAAGAAGAATCTAATTGCTCCCATGTTTTTCCGATGACTACTTCTTTGTAACTGTTTATCGATATATTACAGAAATATGATATGTCCCCTCTGTTAATATAAAACCAGATTATCTGGCTGGGTGCAGTGGTTCACACCTGTAATCCCAGCACTTTGGGAGGCTGAGGTGGGGGGCTGTGTGATGGCAACCTCTGTGCCCAGCCTAATCCCAGCAGTTTCAGAGGCTGAGGCAGGAGGATCTCTTGAGCCCAAGAGTTCAAGACTAGCTTGGGCAACATAGTGAGACCCCCATCTCTACAAAAAAATACAAAAATTATCCAGGTGTGATAGCACATTTCTGTAGTCCTGCCTACAGGAGGCTGAGAGGGGAGCATTGTTTTGAGTCCAGAGGTCAAGGCTGCAGTGATAGGACCACTGTACTCCAGCCTGGGCAAAAAAGTGAGACCTTGTCTCAAAAGAAAAAAAGTATATAAATACATTACAACTTTGCATATTACTGCCTATGAGTGCACCCAGAAAATAATGACCAAACGGACGCAGTATCTTAGAAACCATGTTATTTAAGAACATTAGAAGAACCTGCTCGGCACAGTGGCTCACAAATGAAATCCCACCACTTTTGGAGGCTGAGGCAGGAAGGTCACTTGAGGCCAGGAGTTTTCAGACCAGCCTGGTCAACATAGTGAGACTCCATCTTTGTGTGTGTGTGTGTGTGTGTGTGTGTCACATACCCCTCAGGAGATCCTGAGAACATATGCCCTGCAAGACTCCATCTCTACAAAAAAAAAAAAGAACCCAACCTTGTTTAGAGGGAAAGGTAATGGTTTAGTTTTGAAAGACTGCCTTCTGAGGAGGGATTGGATTTTTTTTTTTTTTTTCTAAAAAATATAGTTGTCACTTTCTTCTATAATCTGTTGCACTGAAATCTGCTAAATGATCCAACTTTTTGTTACTAAGAATTGTTGCTTTTTTAACAATCTTCTTTTGTTCCAGTTTCTTTTCATTTCACTGTCCCTTTTAATCTTAGAGACCTGCCTCATCTTTTACTTGGACTATTAATGGTTTCCTAATTTTATTTCCTTGCTACTAGTGCAGAGTTCAGTGTCTTTAGGTTTATCTTTCCCTATGGTGTTGTTTCATATTTCTAACCTGTATACAGGTTTCCTTCATGATGTAGCCCCACCCTCCATTTAACAATCCATTCATTAGTAGTTGTTGTTTTGTTGTTGTTTTGAGACAGAATCTCACTCTTTTGCCCAATGTGGAGTGCAGTGGCGTGTACATGCTCCACTGCATCTGTGACTTCCTAGGCTCAAGCGATCTTCCCATCTCAGTTCCACAAGTAGCTGGGACTACAGGTATATACTATCACAGCTGGTTGATTTATTATTTATAAATCTTTTTACATTCTTTTTCAAGATGGGATCTCACTATATTGCCCAGGCTGGTCTTGAACTCCTGAACTCAAGCCATCCTCCTACCTTGGCCTCCCAAAGTGCTGGGATTACAGGCGTGAGCTACCATGCCCAGCCAATACCTGCTTAATTTTTGTGTTTTTGTAGAGACAGGATTTCGCCGTGTTGCCCAGAGGTAGATTTATTAAATTTCCTGCCATGTATCAGACTCTGTACGTAACTGTAAAAATATGGCAGACATAAAAGGTATGGTCCCTGCCTTCACAGAGTTTTCTATTTATCTGGAATGTAGGTTATTGTCATTAGAATATATTTAGGCCAGGCATGGTGGCTCACACCTATAATCCCACACTTTGGGAGACTGAGGCAGCAGGATCCATTGAACTCAGGAGACCAGCTTGGCCTACATGGCGAAACCCCATCTCACCTAAAAATACAAAAATTAGCCCAGTGTGGTGGCAGGCACCCATAATCCCAGCTAATCAGGAGGCTGAGGCAGGAGAATCTTTTGAACCTGGGAGGTGGAGGTTGTAGTCAGCCGAGATTGTGCCACTGCCCTCCAGCTTGGGCAACAACGAAACTCCATGTCAGAAAAAAAAAATTATTATTTTTTTTTGAGACACAGTCTTACTCTGTTGCCAGGCTGGAGTGCAGTGGTGTGATCTCGGCTCACTGCAACCTCCGCCTCGCAGATTCAAGCGATTCTCCTACCTCAGCCTCCCGAGTAGCGCAACACGCCCAGCTAATTTTTGTATTTTTAGTAGAGATGGGGTTTTACCATGTTGGCCAGGATGGAGTATAGTGGCACAATCTCAGCTCACTGCAACCTCTGCCTCCCAGATTCAAGCAGTTCTCCTGCCTCAGCCTCCCGAGGGATTACAGGCGTGAGCCACCACACCTGGCCCAAAAATATATTATTAAAATTACTTTTTAAATGAGATTGAAGGGGAGTGCATTTTGTCCATGACTTTCCTATTATTTCCGCTTTAATCTCCATGAGATACCAGGATCTTCATGTATGAGTCCGTTATTTCATACATATTATCTTTTTCCTAGTTAATTTCTGACCTTCTTTTAAGACTCAAATTAGATATACCTCTAGGTAGAATTACTTGTGTCACCCTTTGTCCTCTCATAGATACCGCTTGTCATCTATCTCTAGTAATTAGTAAGTTACTTGTTTCTGTTTTCTTCATTGTAGTGCAAGAGCTCCTTAAGGACAGAGATAGTCTCTTATTTTCTTTTTATCCCATTGTCTAGAAAAGGGACTGATGGGTAGGTATTCAGTAATGTTTATTGCGTGGCCATAAGAGCAATTTCTGCAATAATTATTAGCAGCAATGGAACTCTCAGCTTCGATGACATGTGTATGTGCTCTTTTTACTGTGCTTTTGATTGTGTATTTGGTTTTTTACATAGCTTACAAGACAAGCTTATAGTCATTATCTCCTTTGTGGCAAAAATGATGGCTCTCATTAAAAGTTACCCATTGTGAGTAATTTGATTAATTTGTTAAATGGTCACTTGAGATTATCAGGAATGCTATGGTGGTGATTATGAAGCACTCTTTTCTGCACAGTATATAAACATGAAAGAGAATATTTTCCCTTTTTTTTTTTAAAAAAAATTGAGATGGAATCTCACTGTGTTGCCCAGGCTGGAGTATAGTGGTGCAATCTCGGTTCATTGCAAGCTCTGCCAGCCGGGGTTCTAGTGATTCTCTTGCCTCAGCCTCCTGAGTAGCTGAGACTATAGGCATGTGCCACCACACCCAGCTAATTCTTTTTTCCTTTTTAATTGTACTTTAAGTTCTGGGGTACATGTGCAGATCTTACAGGATTGTTGCATAGGTACACACATGCCATCGTGGTTTACTGTTTCCATCCTCCCATCATCTACATCAGGCATTTCTCCCAATATTATCCCTCCTCAACCTCCCCATCCCCCGCTCTCCCTCCCCTAGCTCCCCACCCCACAACAGATTCCAGTGTGTTTGACATTTCCTTCCCTGTGCCCATGTGTTCTCATTGTTCAACACCTGCTATGAGTGAGATCATGCGGTGTTTGGTTTTCTGTTCTTGTGTCAGTTTGCTGAGAATGAGGTTTCCAAATTCATTCATGTCCCTACAAAGGACATGAACTCATCCTTTTTTATGGCTGCATAGTATTCAATGTTGTGTATGTGCCACATTTTCTTTGTTCAGCCTGTCATTGATGGGCATTTGGGTTAGTTCCAGGTCTTTGCTATTGTAAACAGTGCCACAATGAACATATGTGTGCATGTGTCTTTATAATAGAATGATTTATAATCCTTTGGGTATATACCCAGTAATGGGATTGCTGGGTCAAATGGAATTTCTATTTCTAGATCCTTGAGGAATCGCCACGCTGTCTTCCACAATGGTTGAAGTTTACTCTCCCACAAACAATGTAAAAGTTTTCCTATTTCTCCACATCCTCTCCAGTATCTGTTGTCTCCACATTTTTTAATGATCACCATTCTAAGTGGCATGATATGGTATCTCAATGTGGTTTTGATTTGCATTTCTCTAGTGACCAGTGATGATGAGCATTTTTTTGTTTGTTTGTTGACCTCATAAATGTCTTGTTTTGAAAAATGTCTGTTCATATCTTTCACACACTTTCAAATGGGTTTGCTTGTTTTTTTCTTGTAAATCTGCTCTATAGTTCTTTGTAGATTCTGGATATTAGCTCTTTGTCAGATGGGTAGATTGCAAAAATGTTTTCCCATTCTGTTGGTTGCTGGTTCTGATGATTGTTTCTTTTGCTCTGAAGAAACTCTTAAGTTTAATTAGATTCCATTTGTCTGTTTTGGCTTTTGTTGCCATTGCTTTTGGTGTTTTAGTCATGAAGTCCTTGCCTATGCCTATGTCCTGAATGGTTTTGCCTAGGTTTTCTTCTAGAGTTTTTATGGTGTTAGATCTTATGTTTAAATCTTTAATCCATCTGGAGTTAATTTTAGTGTAAGGTGTAATGAAGGAGTCCAGTTGCAGCTTTCTGCACATGGCTAGCCAGTTTTCCCATCACCATTTATTAAACAGGGAATCCTTTCCCCATTGCCTGTTTTTGTCAGGTTTGTCAAAGATCAGATGGTTGTAGATGTATGGCATTACTTCCAAGGCCTCTGTTCTGAAAAATATGGAATGCTTCACAAATTTGCGTGTCATCCAATTTTAGCATATGTGCTGCTGAGGTGAGCACCTCCAGCTAATTTTTTTGCATTTTTAGTAGAGATGCATTTTGCCATGTTGGCCAGGCTGCTCTCAAACTTCTGATCTCAGGTGATCCACCTGCCTCACCCTCCCAAAACTCTGGGATTACAAGTGTGAGCCACTGCGCCCGGCCCAAAGAGAATATTTTCTATTCCAGGTTTCTGAACATCTCCTTGAACAAGTAAATGTGAGCCAAGTTTGGGGAGTCACCTTATCTTAATGGCATATTAAAATAGTGACATCCATAGTGATGTGAGCTGAACAGTAAACCTTTTTCATTTTTGTTTTTGAGACGGAGTCTTGCTCTGTTGTTGCCAGGTTAGAGCATAGTGGCAAGATCTTAGCTCACTGCAACTTCTGCCTCCCGGGTTCAAGCGATTCTCCTGCCTCAGCCTCCCAAGTAGCTGGGACTACAGGTGCACACCACCATGCCCAGCTAATTTTTGTATTTTTAGTAGAGATGGGGTTTCACCGTGTTAGCCAGGATGGTCTCCATCTTTTGACTTCGTGATCCACGCACCTCAGCCTCCCAAATTGCTGGAATTAGAGGTGTGCAACACCACACCAGGCCTTTTTTTTTTCTTCTTCTTTTTTGAGACTGGGTCTCACTCTCTCACTGAGGCTGGAGTGCAGTGGTATGATCTCAGCTCACTGCAACCTCCACTTCCCTAACTCAGGCAATCAGTCCTCTCACCTCAACCTCCTGTGTAGTTGGGATGACAGATGCACACCACCACACCTGGTAAATTTTTTGTGTTTTTTGGGCAGAGAACAGAGTTTTGCCATGCTGGCTGGGTGTGGTGGCTCACACCTATAATCCCAGTACTTTGTGAGGCTGAGGTGGGTGGATCACCTAAGGTCAGGAGTTCAAGACCAGCCTGGTTAACATGGTGAAACTCCATCTCTACTAAAAATCCAAAAATTAGCCGCGCATGGTGGCATGTGCTGGTAACCCCAGCTACTTGGGAGGCTGAGGCGGGAAAATCACTTGAACCTGGGAGGCAGAATTTACAGTGAGCTGAGGTGATGCTACTGCACTCCAACCTTGGCTGCAGACCAAGACTTTGTCTCAAGAAAAATAATTTTGTCTTGTTGCCTAGGATGCTCTTGAACTCCTTAGCTCAAGCAATCCACCTGCCTCAGCCTCTGAAAGTAATAGAATTAAAAGGCGTGAGTCTGCGTCCAGCCTCTGAGCAGTAACTTTGGTAACTAAGTTTCCTATCTACAAACTGAAGATAATAGGGATGATATGAAGATTAAAACCATTAATATGTGAAAACACTTGAAACAGTATCTGGCATGTAATGTATCCTTCTGACTGCTATTAATTCTTTTTCTTTGAAGACAGGGAATGAATTAAATGCTCAAAGATCTTTTTCCTCCAAAATTATGACTTTGGTTTATCATACCCTCTCTCTATATTTTTTTTTTTTACCTCTTTTCCTGAGAGAATTGCCTTTAAACTATTGAGTTGAACATTCTGTAATACAATATTAAGTAACGCTTGACACAATGATTTTGTTTCTGCAGATGTTCTCAAATAGCGATGAAGCTGTAATCAATAAAAAACTTCCCAAAGAACTCCTGTTAAGGTAAGTCTGAATACTAATTTTATAGTGGTTTTTTTTTTTTTTGGTGTGTGTGTGTTGTATTTGCCTATTTAAAATTTTTTTAACTTTCTGCTAATTTTTAAATGTGTATGGTATTTTACTGAATTTTTAAATTGATTGGCTTTGTTTAATAATCTTACTCTACATTTTCTAGATGTGAATCAAGATATTTGAAAATTTAGTAGCAATTTTCCCCCTTCCAACTTTTATTTATGATTTTATTTACATGTTTTCCCTTTTCTTTATTCTTGTATAGACAGTAGTGTGAAAGAAGTAGGTTTTTTGTTTGTTTGTTTTTGAGACAGGGTCTTGCTCTGTCGCCCAGGCTGGAGTGCAGTGGCACAACCACTGCTTACTGCAGCCTGGACCTCCCAGGCTCGAGCAATCCTCCCACCTCAGCCTACTGAGTAGCTGGGACTACAGACACATGCCACCATGTCTGGCTAATTTTTTTTTAAATTTTCTGTAGAGAAACGTAATCTCACTGTGTTGCCCAGGATAGGCTTGAACTCCTGGGCTCAAGCGGTCCTCCCACATTGGCTTCTCAGGGTGGTGGGATTACAGACTTGAGCCACCGTACCTGGCCTATAGTAGTTTACTTCGCAAAGATTTAGGAAAATTACTTCAGTCTGGTAACTGGCCCTACTGTTACCCTAACTGTTGGCCCTAATGTTACCATAACCTGTGTTATGGTTTACATTTTTTATTTTAATACTAGAGTTTTTTTGTTTTCACCATGACACTCAAAGTTCCATACCATGGCCTATAAAACCCCTCATGATCAGACAGGGGTATAACATAAACACATAAAGTGGTTTCGGTTTTTAAATATAATTAGCCTGACTACCATGCAAAGACCAAACTGGTGAATAGGAGTGGGGAATAATAAGAAGGCTATTAAAGCAATCCATCCAAGAGATGAGGGTGCTATAGATAACATTTTCTGAAATTTGTTAGACTGCAGGATTGCCTACCCGTGCTCTTTCTAGCTTTTGTCAACATTTCTAACCTCATTCTAGTACATGTTTATGAGCTATAAGGTGTGTAGTTAACAGACAGATGACATTACAAGTGAAATTGGATGAGGAGAAACTTTTAAATCAAACAGACTTTGCTATCACAAACAAGTCATAAATCTCAGTGCTTGTTACTGGTGATACTAACTTTGGTCACTTATTTAGAGTAATGTCTTTCAGCTTATCCAATGCAGAATTATTTTCTTCTTTGTAATTAATAAATTTATTGTTGCTAGTGCTACATTGAATCTATGCATTGTTACATTTTTTAAATTATTTTTAACATCTATGATGTTATATGAAGGTTAGCATTGTGGAATTATTTTTTTTTGAGACAGGGTCTCACTCTGTTGCCTAGGCTGGAATACGGTGGGATGATCATGGCAGTCTCAAACTCCTTAAATGATTGATCCTCTTCCTCACTTCTTGTGTACCTGGGACTACATGCATGAGCTACCATGCCTGGCTAATTTTTTTTTCTTTTGTAGAGACAGGATCTTACTTTGTTGACCAGGCTGGTTTTGAACTGCTGGCCTCAAGTGATCCTCTCCCTGTAGTCTCACAAAGTATTAGGATTACAGGCATGAGCCACTGCGCCCAGCCTCTTTCCCCTTTTTTACTGATTCTCCTCCTTCCCTATCGAAACAAAGTTTGTGATTAATGGTTTAACATGCAGCAATCCAGTGTTTGCATAATGTGAAATTCACTTAGCAAGATTGACAGTACTCCCTCTTAGAGCAAAACATATGTACCATGTAGGAGTACCACTTGAAAAATGAATGTCTATGTTTCTAAGACAAAGACTGTTTTCCAAGAGTTGCTGGGCAGTGACTTGTTTGTCAAAGATTCCTTCTGAGGATGATGTTGATAACTATAAAAATGACACCGATAAGACTGCTTGAGTCTGCGCATGCCCTTTTAATTATAAAATGTGGTTTCAGAATAAGGAGTTATTACCTATAGGAATATGAAATTTTTGCTGAGACTTGATTATGACAAAAGAAGACAAAGAATATGAAATTTTTTTAAAGGGTTGAGGAAAAAAGAATCAATTTTTTTAAACTCTTCTGGTATTGGGTCATAATTGTCATGTAATATATCTGTGTAAGTGGGTGTGAGATGAACTTTATGAACTGAAATGGAAAGAATGAATTAGCTGATTTATTTTTCTTTGTCTAAAATAGTAGAGAGCCAGGTGCGGTGACTCATGCCTATAATCTCAGCTGCTTGGGAGGCTGAGGCAGGAGGATTGCTTTGGGCCAGGAGTTAGAGACCAGCCTGGGTAACGTAGTGAGGCCCTGTCTCTTAAAAAAAAAAAAAAAGAAAGAAAGAAAGGAAAAAGGCAGCAATTCATACTGTGTTAGGGTCCTGCTAGATCAATTCACAGGTGTGATGATGTGCAGGAGGATTCACAGGACTCATCATGTAGTCATACACACAGCTATGATTTATTGTAAGAAAAAATACAAAGAAAAATCAGCAAAGGGGAAGGTGCACAGATAAAGTGTGCAGGAAACCAGAAGCAAGCTTCCAAGAGTCCTCTCCCAGTAGAATCACACAGGGTGCACCTAATTCCTCCTCCAACAAGTTGTGACAACGCATGTGAAATACTGTCTTTTAGAGAAGCTCATCAGTGAATCGTAGAACCCTCCCAAAATTCAGCGACTCAGGTGCCATTCAGGGGCTAACTTTGCAGGCAGGCATTTCTAAAGATAGCATTCCCAGGCCTGCTATATTAACTCTTTTCTGCACATGTGCAATCTCATATGCATTTCAGGGAAGTTCACGATGTTGAAGATTTCTTATAGCCTTTCCTTCAGTTTAAATGCTAGGAGTTGAAGGTATGGAAAAATATATTTCTGTAATTTTCCTTCCTTTGAAAGCATTAATAGTTAAGAACATGGACTCTGCAATATTACTGCTGGGTCCTGTCATATACTTGCTGTTAATTGAGGACACAATCCTTGGCATATAATAAATGCTATAAAATTGTTAGGCATGTATTGTTACTGTTGGTTTTATTTTTTACTCATAGACCATAAAGTGATGTGATCAGATTCCAAAACTACCAAAAGTGTTCATCTCTCAACTTGACAGTACAAATTGGTAGATGTTACTGTATCAAAGGATAGAATACCAGTATTACTCTTATCCAGCATTTAGTTTTCTTATCTTCAGGATTACCCAGAACAAAGCAAAGAAACAAAGTCAACAGAAAGATCAAATGTGTACTCAGAGAATGCATACCAGCCATTTCTCAGGCCCTTTTTAACTTTTTTTTTTCAGACACAGCTCTTACACATTTGATTATGAGTATCAGTAAATTAAAATGAGATCAGAAGAGTAATGCTGTTAGGGAGTTTACTGAGTTTTAAAGAGTACCCATCTGACAGTAAGGGAGTGCCATGCTCTGTATGTCTGTCTTCCCCACCTCCCCAAAAATTCGTATGTTGAAATTTAATCACTAATGCAGTAGGATTAAGAAATGGGTTCTTTAGGATGTAGTTAGCTTAGAAGGTCAGAGCCCTCATGAATGGGATTAGTACACTTATAAAATATACTTGAGGAAGCTTGTTTACCTTTTCAGCTAGAAGGTGGCATCTTTGAAGCAGAGTAGACATCGAATCTGCTGGTGCCTTGATCTTATACTTCCCAGCCTCCAGAACTGTGAGCAGTATATTTATGTAGTTTATAAACTACCCAGTCTGAGGTATTCTGTTATAGCAGGCCAAATGGATTAAATATAAAAGTATATATAAAATATAAAAGTAAAAACACAAAAACTTGTAACAAATATTTAAACCAGGCTGGGCGCGGTGGCTCACGCCTGTAATCCCAGCACTTTGAGAGGCTGAGTCGGTTGGATCATGAGGTCAGGATTTGGAGACCAGCCTGTCCAAGATAGTGAAACCTGGTTTCTACTAAAAATAAGCCGGTGTGGTGATAGGTGCCTGTAATCCCAGCTACTGGGGAGGCTGAGGCAGCAGAATCGCTTGAACCCGGGAGGCGGAGGTTACACTGAGCCAAGATTGCGCCATTGCACTCCAGCCTGGGCGACAGAGTGAGACTCCCTCTCAAAAAAAACCATTCAAACCATTACAGTGCAGGGCTATTTATTTAATAAAGAGACAAACAGATTTAGTCATTTAGGAGTGTTTTGCTGTGTGGGATGACAACTGATGTTCTTTATGAAGGATGTGAAATGTATAGAAATAATTAAATTACCTTTCTTTAAACTTTAATGTGGTTATAAATATTTGTTAAGTACCTGCAGTGTCCCAGATACTGTGCTGGATATAGAAATAAACAATTTCTGTCCTCAGGGAGCTCACAGAGCAGTAGAGAAAACAGGCATGGAAATAATCAATACAGAGCTAGAAAAGAGGTTTTGCCTAGGGCATTGTAGCAGTCTCGTAAGTAGGGCTTTACACCTAGCATGGAGAGTTCAGAAAATGAGACAAATGAGCTGTGACTTAAAGAGTAGTACCCCATCTCTACAAAAAATACAAAAATTAGGCTGGGTGTGATGGCTCCCACCTGTAATTCCAGCACTTTGGGAGGCTGAGATGGGCAGGAAACCTGAGGCCAGGAGTTTGAGACCAGCCTTCCTAACACAGTGAAACCCCGTCTCTACTAAAAATAAAAATTAGCTGGGCCTGGTGGCAGGCACCTGTAATCCCACATACTTGGGAGGCTGGGCCAGGAGAATCGTTTTAACCCAGGAGGTAGAAGTTGCAGTGAGCCGAGATCACACCACTGCACTCCAGCCTGGATGACAGAGTGAGACTCCATCTCAAAAGAAAAAAAAAGGGAGGTCCTTGAAGAAATGATTGATTCCAGGAATGAATCAAGGGAGGTATAAGAAAGGTCTGAAACACCTTGTTGTGCCAGAAAACAAGGAAGTGTTCAATGAATGATGGAGACATATTTAAAGGACAAATGACACAGTTGGAAGTTGATTTCACT